TCACTGTCATGGTCGGCATGAGGAGACCGGCTGGTGCTGCACATCCACACCAGTGCCCAGCTCCTCATCTCATGCTGGGAGCCGCTCAGCACCGCATTGTTTTCATGGTTCCTCTGCAACCCTCCGTCCTTGCAGGGCCTCCCCGTGCCCTATCTGCCCGTGCTGGCAGGACAGGCAGGGTCCCAGCAGGGTCCCAGTGCGGGGCCCAGGCAGGGTCTGAGCTGGCAGCAGCAGCCGGCAGCCTGCCTGGGCAGTGCCCGAGTCCAGGTCCATGCACTGAGCTCCGTGCTCCTTGCCAGCCCCATGGCGGTCCCGCTGCAGGGGAGCGTTTTGCTAATCCTTTCGTTCCTGCCCTGTGCCCAGCAGCACAACCTCCTGCCAGCTTTGCAGGGAAATGCTTCAGAAGCACCTGGGACTCAAGCAGTCAATCCTTCCCTGCAAAGCAGCAGGGCAGGAGAGGGCTTCCAGCCCTCAGAGGTCCTAAACCACCCAAACAGCCTCAGGGCTTGCACTTATATACCCTGACCAGACTTCACTGGTCCCAAGCTGAAACCAGACAGCTCATTCCTGCAAGAATTGGCTGACATTCTGGAAAGAGAGCCCAAAAATGCTAGGAGGGGTCTGAGCAGGGCTGAAGCTCAAATCATCCCTTCCTCCTCCCACCCTGCTCCGGCTCAACCTCCTCCGTACCCAGAGAGGGCAACAGCTTTGCACAGCTGCAAATTAACCTGCTGCCACAAGATATTACCCAAGCCACGATCTCAGCAGTGTTTGGAGGAGGATTAAATATTTATCTGGAAAACAAGGACCTGCACAAGTGCATTTGGCAGGATTAGTTCTAAAGCCCATAAAAGACCCACTCAACAGAGCCGTAACCAGTTGCTCCCTTCCTTGGGGACGTCTTCTGCACACCGATGGGTGGGTACACGCTGTGCCAAGGCTCCCACCCCCCTCCCAGCCCTGTGGTCTGGGGTGGAATGGCTGTCATCTCCTCCCATGGACCCCAGCCTTTCCTTTTCTCTTTATGGTGCATCAGAGAGATTAAAACCCCTGTACAGGTGTCATACAAACTGCTATCTCTCTAGTGTTTGAGTGAATTGAGGACCTTCCTTGGCCCTTGGACACACCGGAAAATATGTGATCCATCAACTGCCTGAAGGATGTTCCGTACTAGTGTGAAGCCAAACAGCACCCTCCAGTTCGCATTAGAGCCTGGAGAGCTTTGTATAACACAAATAGACCATCAGCCTGGAAATAAACCTCTACCATCCTCTCTCTCCACTAAGAGAAGTTTAAGAAATATATCACAGACTGTGCCTATAGTCTGACACTATATCACAGCAGATGGGAGCCTGCTAAGTCTCCTTAGGATCAGCATTGCAGCAACCAAGGGGGTGGAAAGGGCCTGAGTATCCTTTTCTCCTCCAGTATATGTGTCCTGATACAGGAAAGGTGCCTTTGGACAAAGATATTTCTGGAATAGCCAGGATTTATGGCATACCAAAAATATATATGCGAACAGGATGTTGCTCTGGAGCTCAGCCACAGCCCAGCAAGGGTTTCCCACTGCCGTGGGGAGCTGCCTGGGCTGCAGGCAGGAGCAGTTCCTTGCACAGCCGCCAGACCCCCATGGTGGACTCACTGCAGCTATTTTACATGCTTTTCCTTGCAATATTTGTTTCCCACAAGTATGCTCTGCTTATACAGCCCCTGGCAGGGAATATTTCTGTCATAGTTTACCATTTTGTCCAGGACAGGATTTCACTGAAAGTATTTGTTTAAAAATTACAAAAACACATTAACATATCAGGGAGGTCTCTGCCTTTTATTTTCACCATGTATATCTACCGAAAATCAAAATGTTCAGATGATTCAAGTAAGCTACTGGCCTCTTCCATCTAGCCAGGAAGAGCATCAGTCTGTGACAGGGTCAGGACCTTTCATGGCTTTTTAGCTTTTGTTTTTTCCAGAGAAAATAACACAAGTACCATTTCCCTAACCCAGGATCTTCAGCCAGAGTTCACATACACATCTCTGAAACCCAACGGGATAGCCCACTTTCTTCTCTCAGCCTGCGCTGCCCAAGGAGCTGCTCCACTCCCAGATCCTTTGTTTTCTAGGTATTTTCTACTCCTCTTCCCCTCCTCCTCTGGCATTTCCAAACCTGGCCCAGGCTGGGGAGAGCAGCACAGAGCCACACCTCCAAGACTTTCTCAGAGCTCAGCTGCCATATGTGATCTCCCAGGTTGACTGACACCTTCCAGGCATAACTTCACCATCTGAGGCTTTTCAAGAGCTCTTGCATTTGCCAAATCTTGCTTCCCTATTCCTGGAGTCCCAGACTTTCCCTGGCTTCTCTTTCAATTTCCAGCTCCCAGCATTGCTGTAGCCTTTAATAACTGCTGCTTTACACACACATACACACAGAGGTCATCAGAAGACCTCTCTCTGCTGTTTCCTGACTCATTACTCGCTTCATGGCTCAGCACAGCCCACTTGTGAAATGTCCCAGTCTATGAGAGTCTCTGGTTGCTGCTTGGTCCGTGCAGCCTGGTGAGCCTGGCCAAGGTGGCCACACTGCCCGGGCATGTGTGGTGGGTGGGCTGTTGGGTCTGATGGATCTCAAGTGCCTCCTTCCTTTTCGGAGCTTGCCACCACTGATGTTTTCCAGCCACAGCCTCTCCAGCTATTACATCTGCCACTTCCCAGGTGGCTTCTGCAGACGCACAGTGCACAGCAGCCCATGCCCCTTTCGCCTCTAGGCCCGGCTGCTTCCCTGCACCTCACTGCACGGGCCATGCCAGCTGCACCTCTCACATCTCCAGTGCTATGTTCTCCAATTAACTCAGATCTACCACACCAGCCCATACAGCCCCTCAGAAGCTCCATTAGTCACCCAGCCATTGCACAAGGTCAGATTTCAAGGATCTCCTGCGCTGAGGGGTTTGTAGAAGAGGTAGGATTCCCCATGACCCAGATGCCCCTCGAAGCTCTAGACCGCTCCACCACCACACCCCCACACCCTGCACCTTCTTCTGCAGAGCTGGGACCGAGGGATCCAGCCCAGCCAGGGACAGGTACGGCAGCCTGGCCCCAGCTCCAGCCCAGTGCTGGACTGGCTGCAGGGTGGGGTGGGTTGGGGTGCCGGTCCAGGCAGCTGGGGGAGGCAGTGTAGGGGGGACGGGGCAACCGTTCCTCTCTGCTGGCTGCCTGCGGGGGCTGATGGAACCGGCTGAGAGTTTGAACCTCAAGGCTCCTCAGAGACGTTGGGAAGATGGAGCACACTGAGCTCAGAGCCTGCCACGTGGAGTTCTCCTGCCTCCCAGGCAGCAGGGACCTTTTATTGAAAGGGATTAGGGAAAGGGGGCTGGAGAGGGGGTCCTGGAGTCCTTTATCCCTACATGGAGCTTCCCATCCTGAAACTGGATGAAGCAAAGATCCCTCTCAGAGCAGAACCAAGCAAGGGGCCCTGGAATAAAGCAACACCCCAGTGACTTTAGCTGACGCAGACATTCCTGAGCAGATTTGAATCTTGTTTTGCAGGAGGGATCTCTCTGCGGCCACACACTGCACACACCAGCCACTTCAGAAGCTCCCAGCAGCCAGTCCACAGCTCTGCTACCCAGACACATCACAGGGCTGCCGATCAGCGGGAAAACTCTCCAGCTCCAGCAGATCATAAGCTTATTAAAGATAGATCTGTGCTTTGCTTTGCAGAGATAGACACATCAAAGGCATTTTGGTCTGTGTGCCAGTGCTGCCGGGATCCCCATTTCGCAGAAATGAGGGCTGAGACATACTCTCCATTCCCAGCACAGAGTGTTGGAGGAGCTCAGCTCAGCTGCAGGAGCAGCAGGATCTGTCTCCTTCCATCTTGGGGAGCCCAGGGCCACATCTAGACTGTAATAAGTTAGTCCCTGGCTAATCACTTGGGTGACTCAGAAGTGGCTGGTGGGGACTGAAGCACTTCACTCGCAGCGCATTGCTGCCAGCACTGCTCTCCCCAGGCCATGCAGAACCAGGGGCATGGCCATTTGCTGGAGCTCTGCTGACAGCCCGGGACCTGCTCAGCTCAAGAGGGAAAGCTAAAAGGGGAAACAGGACCTCTCACAGCTGGCCCAGAAGTTGATACTTGCACAGTGCTTTGAAACCCACAGATTAAAGATTTAAGAGACATGAAAGGCTGTCACTGCCTGTTTGTCATTTGGTGTGGGTTCCTCCCTGCCATCGCACATGCAGGGCACAATTTTCAGCAGAGGTGAGCGCAACCTTGCGAGAAACCTGCCCAGCCTGGAGCATCGCTGACACTGGCCCAGAGCATGCGAAGCCTCTCCCTGCCGTGGCACTGAACCCCCAACACATCGCGTGGGCTCCTCCTGCCGCCTTGGGTGGCATAAGGAACAAATTTGCACCCCAGTGTTGGCTGGGCTCGTTTCCTCTGCCTGCTTTGCAGCTACCCCCCTTTTTCCTTATCTCTCCCCAGTGCAACCCAAGAACCTCAATCGTCCCTGCAGCTTCTGAGCCATCTCAGACGACCCAGCTCCAGGCTCAGCTGTTCTTGCTCTCAGGGGGCTCACACAAATTGCAAAGCCAGGTTTGTGCTGGGAGCAAACGAAGGCATCAGGCCTCCCAGCAACAGGCAAGTGGGTGCCTGCAGCAAAGAGCCGCTCAGGAGGGAGGCTTTGCACATGGCAAGCAAGCAGCAAGGGCCCTTGAATCCTCGTTAGCAAGGAAGGTGACAGTAGCACGCAAGGAAGCAGGAGGCATCCCACACCCCTCCCTGTGCCTGGCACAGCTCAGTGGAGCCCAACACACTGCGTGCCTGGAGTACAGCTCACTTTCAGCATTTCAAATTTGCCGGATGATAACCTCAGTGTCTGAGTTCACAGCTCTGATCCCACCCACTTGTGGTCTGACTCATGTTGCAGTCACCGTGCTGCCTGGATATTGGTACGCGAGAAGGGAGGGAGGGAGGAGAGGAGAGGAGGCAGCCGCCGCTCGCAGCACACGCTTCTGCCTTCACAAACTGAGCCACACACGCCAGGGGAAAGTTGGAGGCAGCGCAGCCACAGAGGGCTTCCACCTGCTCAGAGGCTGTGGGAAAGCAGCACCTTTCCCAGGTAAAGCTTTTCTCTTACTTTTTGCTTGGTTGTTACACTGGTAAATCACTTTATAGGTGATATCTCAGAGGGGTTTGTGGGTCCTTGCTGAGGTTGGGGTGTACTAAGCAGCCCGCAATGGGACACCCCAGTCAGAGCAAGAGGGTGTCGCTCATCAGACCTTGGCACCATCATCATCCTGTTGTGCCTGAAGCAGAGGCCAGTTTGGGGACTTTCACTGGCTGTTGCTGCCAGGGATTGCTGGAGCCAAGAACATCAGGGCTGAAGGGAGGACATGGGTGGAGCATGTCCAGGGCACAGAAGCGGAGCCCTGCTCTGCCTAAGCATCCGCTGGTATGAAGCATCTCTGCCCAAGCAGCCTCCTCACAAGGTTTGCTGCTAAACCAACTTCTTGCACTGAGCTGCCCGATCCCTTTCTCCAAGCTCCCCAGCCCCTCCATCCAGCCCTCCACACCCTGGCAGTTGGTGGGCATCTGCTGGAGCAGGGGTTGCCCCATCTGGGGGCATAGTTGGCTCTGTGGGGCAGGGTACCCCCAGGCTGGGCTGTAACGCTGGCACAGGAGGAATAGACTTTGGCAGGAGGCTGAACCCTGGGGCTTCTGCTGGGAACTCATGCAGCTCCAAGCACACCCATGAGCCTGGCACCTCTGTTTACAGTTTCACCTTTCCTGGGAACTCTCTGTAGAACAGACTTTAGAAATTCTGGCAGCTCTACAGGTTTACAATTACCTCTTTGGGATCCCTGAAAGCAGAAAACCCAAACTCCCTCTTACACACAGAGCTCTTATCCTCCTGGAGAGCATGGTTGAGGGCTGGTAGCTGGGATGGGGATTGTGTCCTGCCTCCCCCAAGCCCCTCTACTCATGCCAGAGACAGTAATTGCTGCTGTGTATCAGTCAGAGTTTAGGCTGGGATGAGGCAGGAAGAGCACCAGGCTCTGGAGGAGACCAAGGGGCAGGGGCAAAAGCCTCTGGGGATGTAGCCTGGCAGGATGTTGGTGTCTCCCCACAGTCCCAGAGAGGTTGCAAAGTGGCTTTGCAAAAATGAGACTACATCTGTCAGTGTGCACCTGTAGATTAAAGGGTGAGCTGTGTCAATCCACCTGAACGAGGGCACCTTGGATGGGTGAGCACCCATGAGCAGCACACCTGACAGCCCTGCCCCAGAGAGTGGAGGGGAGATCAGCGATTCCAAGGAAGAGATGGAAACAAGGGCGATGTGGCTCACCGAGCACAGGGGCAGAGGCACGGTGGAGGATGCTGTGGGGTGCAGCACTGCATAGGAGGTGTGGGGAGAAGCACAGCCCTTCCAGAAAGGCTGCTCATAAGCTAGAAACAACCCCACAACCTCATCAAAGCCTTCCATAGACATCAGGGCAAACTAGTTTCGGCACCACTCTTACATTTGTCCCCTCTCACACAGCCTTCAAATTTTGTCTTGTCCCATTGTGAGGTAAGATCATGGCTCTCACAGAGGATTGAAACAGCCCTTTGCCAGGGTCCCTGCAGCTCCTGGCCCTGCCTGCGCCCCACCACTGAACCATAAACATCCTCTTTCAGACCAGAAGAAATCTCCACCCTCCTCCCCGTCTCACAGCCTTGGCTGAAGTACTTCTCACAGCATGCCCAGATGTTTAATCTCTGGAAGCACTTGAACATAATTTCAGAAAAAGCCATGACGTTCTGCTGCAAGCTCTGCAGGGCCACGGAATTTGCTTTGCTCCTAAGTGACTTCTGCCAGCACTTTGCTCAGAAAGAAGCTAATGCAAGAGGCAGAGTGACATTTCAGGTCTGCCTGAGAGCTGACCCATCCTGTCCCTAGGATAGAACTAAAATGCTTCATGCAGAGTTTCTCCTGAGCCCCCAGCCATCGCTGTCAGTGCCCTTTTGGGTAGTGGGAAACACTTCCCAAAGACAGGCTGCCACACTGAGGCACTCTCCAAGTGCTCCTTTCTGCCTGTGTCTCCACTCATGGTGCCAAGATTCCTAGGCTTTTAGCAGATTTTAAACAAATCTATTATGCCAGAAGTAGAAGCACATGAATGGAGAGCAGCAAATGTACTACCTGCACTGCCAGAGCGGGCGCTGCATCCCATTAGTCTTGATAGGAAAGCTCACAAAGTGCTGGAATAAATGACACTGAAGAAAGGGATTATGAAGGATGAGGAGGAGGAGGAATAGAAAGGTAAAATGCAACAGAAATTTCCCATGGATAAATCACAGCTCCCTCTCCAGAGGAGTTAATTGCCATTTTAAATGGGCACACAGTGGATCAAATGTAACACGAGCTGCAACAGAGAGGAAAATATCTCTTCAGGCAGGAGAAGGCAGGAATTACTTCTAGCATTGTAAGGAGGATAATGGGGAGACGATAGTATGTTACAATGGAAGAATCATTAATGCTCCAGAGAGTTCCTTAAAGATCAGCCTAGAGATAAATTTTTTTAATGGTTTTCATTAGTGATCTTGGCTCAGAAAACAGGAGTTTCTCTAAGAAAATGTACTGGTGAGAAACTTGGGAGAAGTTTTAAACTGGAAAGGGACTAAGTATTACAGGAGAAGAGCCAGGGGATCCAAAGATCAACAGAAACATAATGGTCTGGCACAAGTTCATATGCTTGGGGACTAACTGCAAAAATTGTTACTCTAAGCAGCTGAAAACACCATAAGAAAAATATCTGGCTTATAGGGAACCCTGGGATGATTGCAACAAAACAAATCCAACCTGACAAGTCTTCACAGCAGAGATATTGTCCATCAGAGCACCAGTGACCCTGGAAAAGGTGCTAGAAGTGTGACCCAGAAGCAATGCCCTACTCTGGTCCCTCACTGTCAGGAGGGTGATTTTGAACCAGGAACAGATCCAGGCTGTGATAATGAGGATAATCAGGTAAATGTAAAAGCTGCCTGGTGAGACAGGGCTGGAAGGGTATAATTTATTCAGGCTATTGCTAGAAAGGCTGCCATGGGAAACAGCTACTCCACTCATACATCAAGGAGGAAATGAACTCTCTCTGCCAAAATGCAACAGGAGCAGAGGATACGGGACTGGTATTAAAGGTGGCTGCGAGTGACCTGGGCAGAAAAACAGAAGCAGATGTAGAATTCCAGAGGGCCAGTGCTCCAGGAAAGAGCCCTAAGCTGAGTGCACTGCCCTGGGAACTGCAATCTGGGGGCAGTGGGCTGATCCCACAGCCTGACATCTACACCAGCCCTCCAGCCTGCTTCCCCTGCAAAGCCACGTCCGGGGGCTGTGATCCCTCAGCGGACTGTTTCCATGAGATAATTTGGCAGATGAAGAGGGGAAAGTCTCTCACACACCCATTACAGTTAGGGTTGCAACATCCAAGCTGACAGGCTGATCCTGTCCTGTCCCGTGGAGGAACAAAGTCCCAGGCAGCTGAGCCCTGCAGCCCGCATGTTCAGGGAGGGTGCCCACAACCAGGCTTTGAGGACAGCTGAGAGCCCAGCTCTACCTGGGGTCCTCTGCAGTGATGGGGACACTTCTGTCCCCTTCATTTGGGAACCCTTGCTCTTCCCTTCCACAGCTCAGCCCAGTGGCTCCATATCCCACTCAGAAACACTTTCTACTCCCTGCCTGAGGGTGGGGAGAGAAAGTGCCCATTTCATGCCCTGAGCTAATTACAAACAACAATGAGAAACAAAACAACTTCTGGCCAGGTCTGCAGCACAGGGCTGCGCTGGGGTCACCTGCACCACGGCGGGTGCCGAGCGTGCCAGTGCACCCAGAGCTGGGACCCAGCAGCTGAGCCCAAGCTGAGCCCCGGCAGAGCCCACGTGAGCTGCGAGAGCTGGTTGGTGGCAGGAGTAGGTTGTTGATGTGTGGTGAAGCAGCCATGTAGGAGGCTGTGATCCACCCACAGCATTTTCTAAGTGTGCTACTCCCCCTATAATTTATCCTGCCATTTCCACATGTTGGGAGCAATGAAAAAACATCCCTTTCACTTGGAAATACCCTTCTCTAAGAACAACCTGTTCTCGTCATTGCTGTCAGCAGGCAGGCAGCGCTCAGCTTGTTCCACGCTCCTTTTGTGCGCGAACAAAGAGCTTTCCATGGCAAGAGCCTGCGCTGCAGCAGGAGGTGAGGAACTGCTCTGCACGCTGCTGCCGCAGCTGAAAGCATCACATCCCTCTCCCAACAGCCTTAATCCCAGCACCCAAATTCAGAGGACTCCCTGTCTGGCAATGAGTTTGCTCTGCTCAGCAGAAGGCTTCCCACAGACCGGTTCATCACTTGTCATTCACTTTCAATTCCTTTAGAAACAGCAGGGCTGCAGGTATCATTGCTAATCTCACCGGTCCAGTCCCCATCTCTCCGCCATATGGCTACTGGCAATCAGCAGTTATTTACTCATGCAGTCTCCCCAGTATATGCCCTCCCGTGGCCCCCATGCCTTTAACCTTGAATCAAAGACATAAATCATCTGAAGAGTTTTTCAGCCTGCTCCACATCCTTATCTTGTTCTTGCAGGGTGAGTTTAACGTTAAAAATCTCACCTCTGTCCTCTGCCAAGGCTGGACCTTTTCCTTTCCTGGAGTTTTTTTCTGTTTGCTCCATCTCTGCAGCCAGTTGCACGCTGCAGGGAATCAGCTCTACCTCCTGCACAAGCCTGTGCACCACCAGGGATGGCTTCACTGCTGATCCACGGGCTGTGGAGAGCCCGGGGAGCCGGGTCCTGCACCACCCATGGAGACAGCACTGCTCTCCCCTCCCAGCACATTGGGGACAATGGGGAGACCCATCAACTCACCTGGGAAGCGCATGGGGGGAGACCACAGCTGTGGCACAGGCAGCTGGGCTTCTCAGCCTTCTCCGAACCCCCTCTCTCCCACGTCAGGAAGGCACATAAAGGGAAACTGAGGCACTGCAGCAATAAGAATGTTGCTTGCAATCACACAGGCCCTTTTGAATCTCGTAGCAGCATGGTCCTGAAGCACCGTAATCAGCAGCTAAAAGCTCTTTTGGTGATTAGAAGGGTTTACTGTGTTGTCTTTGCCCTTGCAAAATAAGGCATTTTGTTCTTTGCATCCAGACAGAAAATAGCCGTTAAAAAGTAAGTCTACAAGGGATGTTCTCCACTGTGTCCCTGTCCCACAGCAGGAACAGCTCATCCAAACTCTCCCTGAAAAACAAACCTCCATGCTGCCCTTCAGCTGCTAGGAATGGGACTGATGAAGCTGTTAGAGCCTTTTCCAGCCATCTCCTCCCCAGGACGTGGCACCGCTGACAAATGGGTTCCTCTTTCCTCACAGAGCCCTGAGCAGAGTGCAGATTTCCTCTCCAGGCTGCATGGATGCTGCTGGCAGGGCCCAAGACAAGGCATGGGCTGCTGGAAAATGCAGATACAAAGTTTAATGAGACTTAGAGCCACAGCTGAGCTTTGGAAATTATGTAGTGATGACTAATTTTGCTAAATTGCATCAGAAAAGCATACTGCTTTCTCAGGAAAACTTTCCTCATATCCTCCCAGTTCTTCTTTTTTATCGTAAGCCTGTAGAAACTCAGTCCCACCAAAATCCCTGCCGTTTCTCACGTCTCTACTTTACATAGGCACCCCTGGGGCTGGGAGGGGCCAGCTGGCAGAGACATGTGTGCCTGGCTGCCAAGACACTTTCCAACTCAGGTTTAAATGGGCTGGAGCATCCAGGGAGGTGCAGACACCCTGTTTCTGGAGGGGTGTGAGGGGCAGCTCAAAGGACCTTTGACCACTGCAGCTCTGAATTGGTGCTTTCTTTGCAGATTGTCCTTGGGAGGTGGCAAAGCTCTGTGCCTGCTGGAGCACTGCCGACCACTGTCACCAACCAAACATGCAGAGCACATGAGATGCCACAGGACCTGACCCCATGGTCACTCAGAGGAAAGGAGAAGGCAAGAGAGGAAAAGGGAACAGCTGGGACCCACCAGCAGCTGCTACAGGGGATCAACTCTAGCACTGAGCTCTCAGATGGAGCCAACAGGCACAATCAAGTCACATGGCCACATCTTTCCCTCGACCATGTCATTCCTAGCATATGAGGCTGAACACGTGAAGTGACTCTGCAATGTTCTCCGAGGTCACTGTAGGCCTAAGGTCGCTTTGGAAAGGGCTCTCGGGCTGCCTGGCAGAGGGTCACTCCAAGTAGCTTCAAAGCCAGTGAGAGCAGGACTGCTCCATCCACGCGACTGCGCTATGGATCCGTGCTTCAACCATACAAGCTCTCAAAAAAGGATGGACTTCCCCCTGCAGCTGCTGGTTGGATCCTGCCTCGCCATCCTCATCGTGATCACTCTCTGCGGTAACATCATTGTCTGCCTGGCTGTCACTCTTGACCGCCGGCTCCGCAGCTTGACGAACTGCATCATCGTCTCCTTGGCCATCACCGACCTGCTGCTGGGCCTTCTGGTGCTGCCGTTCTCTGCCTTCTATGAACTCACCAAAGAGTGGCCCTTTGGCAGCATTTTGTGCAACATCTACACCAGCCTGGATGTCATGCTGTGCACAGCTTCCATCCTCAACCTCTTCATGATCAGCCTGGACCGCTACTTTGCCGTGACCACCCCACTCCGCTACAGCCAGGTGGTCACTCGCTCCCGGGTGGCTGTGGGTTTGGTTGTTATTTGGACTGTTTCACTGATGGTCTCCTTCCTACCCATCCACCTGGGCTGGAACACCAATGGGACAGCAGTCCAAAACACAGTCCCTAACTGCAACAAGGAGTGCACGCTGGAGGTGAACCCTGTGTATGGGCTAGTGGATGCCTTACTCACCTTCTACATCCCTTTGGTCATCATGTGCATCACCTACTACCGGATATTCAAGATAGCAAGGGAGCAAGCCAAGAGGATAAACCACACATGGTGCTGCAGCAGCAACACCCCCATGCCACCCATGGTGAAAGAGCACAAAGCCACTGTGACACTGGCGGTGGTGATGGGAGCATTCATTGTGTGCTGGTTCCCCTATTTCACAGTGTTCACATACCGAGGGATGTGGGGAGACAGCAGCGTGAAAGGCACACCCATGTCCATTGTCCTCTGGCTGGGCTATGCCAACTCAGCCCTGAATCCCATCCTCTACGGGACACTCAACAGGGATTTCCGGGTGGCATACCAGCACTTGCTGCACTGCTGGAGGACTGGGGGCCCCAGGAGCTCCCACCTGCCCCCGCTCCAGAAGGCCCCATCCAGGGGCAGGAGCTGCAGGCGGGGACAGGGCGGGCAGGAGGGTAAATCTCTGAAACTGGAGATGAGGAATGGAAAAGGGATCTTGCTGACTGATGGAGCCCACAAGAGGTAAGAGCCTTCTTATATGTGGGTCTTTGATGGTAGGTCCATCCCCAAAGAGGAAGGCAGAGGTGGGGACCCCATGTTGCCTGTAAACTTTTAAGCAGCAAGCCGATGCCCCAGCAGGAGATCCTTGCCTAGGCAACTGTTGCTCTTTGCAGCCACTCAGAAATTCATCACCAGCAGCAGGGACCCAGCTCGAGTCTTTCCATACTGGTGGCACAGGTCCAGCTACTCCAGCTTCACATGTTGCTGGCCAACCCTGCAATCGCCACCCATTTGCAGGGACCACAAAACATCCCTGGCTTTGCTGGCTAATGGGGATGGTTTTGCCATCAGAATTTGCTATACAGAACAGGGTGCAGCCATTAGCTGCGGCTGCTCCCAAAAACCAGCCATGTCCTGCTCTCTGGTGGCAGGTGGCCAGCAAAGCCTGGGCAGCCAGCAGAGATGCAGGGGCTTAGGAAAGGTGGCTGTCTGTCACAGGGAGGGCAACAGGGTGGTAGCCCTGGAGCACAGAGTTAGAGCACCTGCGGTCAGGCTGAAAGTCCCTGCAGGAACCAAGATCTGGGTCCCCAGCTCCCTGAAGGGCAGCTCAGCAGTTTCCCTTCCTGGCCAAGCCATGCACCCTCAGCATTTAGGCTGTCAGTTTGCATCAGCAACAAATTCAGCGAACAGCAAGTTCCATTCCCATCTCTTGAAAGGAGCAAGAATAGCCAAAATTGTATTTCTAAAAACATTTGCCATTCTAAATACTTATGTAAAATTAGAGCCAAAAATTCCCTCAGCATCACCCCAAGCATGTCACAGGGTCAGGCCTCTTGGAGGGGTGCAGGTGTGCTGAGGGAGCAGGATGGGTGCAAGGCGGGCGAGCTCTGTGCCAGGCTGTGGCACCAGTCCCCTCCCTGGGCACCCACGTCCCTGCAGGGCTGGGCTACCCGCTCACCACTCTGCTCAAAGGCATTCACCCGCCCGAGCATAAGGAGAAGAGAAGCACTCTGTCTGCCGCGGTGCAAGCTGCTGCTCCTGAGACTTTAATCTACCTTCTAGGCAGTATCTGATAAGCAGCCCAGAAACTTTCCATCCATAGATAAGGAGTCCTTTGACTCCCTGTTCCCAGCATGACAGCAAAGAAGCCGCATTCATGCTCTCCTGCGGCATGTGCCCTTGATCCTGTCCCAGAGACACAGTCTCAAGCCACCAAAAGAAGAATGTAGAGAGGTGAACCCAAGGGCAAAGCCATCCAGAAGGCTCAGCCAGCATCGTACCTCCCCTGGGGCTCAGATGTGACTTTACCCAAGACAAATGGGCAGCCTGGGGCAGGGGAGTCTGCCCCAGGGGACACAGAAGGATGAGTGAGTGTGAACAAATATAAAAACACAGTTCCTGGGGCTGCCTTTTCAGTTTCTGAGGAACTAATAAATGTGTGCAAAGGTACAACATTTGGTAAACATAGTTGCGGGTTGTATATAAAAACATATGGAGAGCATGTTCCCAGCATGGTAGAAATGCTTCTGCAAACATACAGAGACCAAGAAAGAGCTTTGCTGTTTACTCACACACAAGTGCAGCTCCTGAGCAAACCAGGAGCTCATGCACTGGGGCTCTGCAGTCAGCCAGAGGGAGCTGGTGATGGGAAACAGGCCGGTGGGACTTCCCTACGCAACAGAGAGGAAGAAGAGACAAAAAAGTCAGTGACTTCTCAAAGTGCTGCTTTACCACAAAGCGAGAACAAGAAATAAAAGGGGAAGAAAAACAAGTTTCTGTTTTTCTGGCAGAGGCCAGAGTCACACATTTCCTGACTTTCCCCCTCCCAGCTTTCCCAGGTAGATAAGGTCCTTCCCTTGGTTCCCCTGAGGGCCTGGTCCTGCTATGGGAGTGACATCCAAAGCCCACACTGGGGTCAGCAGCCAGGGGACCCCTGTCCCCAAACTCTCAGCATGTGGGTGCCCAGCATCAGCAGGACTTGGCAAAAGCCCCAGCACAGAGACCTGGCATGTGGCTCCAGACTGTCTTCACCCTTGCAGGGTGAAGCTCCCCCACTGCTAAAATCAACCCCAGCGAGTATCCCAGCTGGATTTGCTTCCAAGGGAGCAGGAGGTTGAAGCGAAGAGGGCAAGCTGCAGTCAGTCCACAACAGAGCAGATACAAGAACTATGGGGAAGCAAGAGAGGAAGACTCAAGCACGAGGACATTTCTTGACTTTCTAAATCCAGAGATCTCCTTCCCATCCTACACAACACCACTACTGTGGTTTCTGCTCACAGTCAGAGTTGCCTGAGCACCAAATGATCAGTTATTGCTTTTACTGTCACTACTTCCCTTCTTAGCCTGCTCGCTTAAACAGGAAGGATATACCAAGGATCCTGTGAGGTCGCTTCCAACCCTTTTTTCCCCAGTCAGATGGATATAAACATCTGCTCTTCTCAGATTATCTGGATCAACTAGTACCACACAAAACAGGTGAGCACAGGATTTACCTGTACACCAGAAGCCTGGCAGCCAGCCAATTTCACCCCAAGCATGAACCAAGCTGGTTCCTCTCCCCACTTCCCTTTCACATAGTCTCCCCACTCATCTGCCCTGGCCACGTTAACAGAAAAAGAGCAACACGAATCACTGCACAAACTCATAACCCCCCAGATAGGAAGGACCAGAGCTCAGAAGAGCTCTGCTAAGAGCAGCTCCACAGGGTCATTCAGGGGAAAGCAGAACCGGCAATATTTTGAACCGTTGCCCTTAACAATATTCTTTCCAGTTATGACGCATAGGGAAAAGACCAGCAAAGAGTGAGAATACTGGAGAACTGCGGCTGGTCTCAGGGGTGTCAGGAGCAGGGACAGGAAGTCAGTTATCCCTGCTTTGGGAATCAAAAGGCCACAGGAGCACTGCAGCCTTTAAAGGGCCAGGCAGGGACCCAAGGGAAGACAGCTGCTTCTTTCTCCCCACCAGACACCAGAAAGGCATGAAAATTCACTTCACACAAAACTGGAAATGGAAAGCACTACTTGTATGCACAACACCTGATGGACCCCAGGAACCTGCTTCGGTGCAGTGAGACAAGACTCTGAAGAAGAGCAGGCTGAGCGGTGGGCATGGCGGTAGGTTGTGAGACCAGTCCCTGAGGTCCAGAGAGATAAAAAGCTCAAGAGAAGAAGGATTCAGCACTAACAGGGAGGTATTGGGCAAAAAATGCTGGAGCTGGGCAAGTGGCTCTGGGTCACCCTCTTGCATAGATCAGCTGTGCTCAGGGCAGTTTGGGGCAGGACTGTGGCCACAACATATGGGCAGAGAGAAGCCAGTTGCCATAGGAAAGGATCACTGTCCCAGTCACGACATGCCCGCGCCGTGGGGGGCAGACACCAGCCAGGTAGTACCTGGTGTTCCACAGAGCAAAGCTGGGCTTGACCAGACTGGCACTGACCAACTGAACTCTTCTTTTTCTTGCTTTTCTTTCCATCTGCATGTGCAATTTACCCCTTCCCAGCACCAGAGCTTTCCCGTGAGTCTCAGCCAGCCCGCTGCCCTAGGACCCATGTCTCCCAAACTTCAACTCCTGGCTGCCCTCTTCCAAAATCCTGTGAGGTTGGAAGGACAACACTCAGTTTTCCTCGGGGAGAAACTCAACAGCAGAGGTGAGGGCTGCAAGGTGAGTACAGGGCCAGGGTCGCTGAGTGCAAATGAAGAGAGGGGGCAGCTCTCCATGCTGTGGCACCCACTGCATTTTCCCTGGTCCAGCCATCCTGTCCCAATGGTACTTGATGCAGAGGGTGATACTATCAGAAGTGAATCCTCACTCCTCTCTCCAGCACCATATGCTTTCCAAACCCAGCCCCAAGCCCAGGGGAGGTACACAGAGATGTGCACCCCGTGGCTGTCCTGGAGGGGTGGGCTTACACAACCACCCTGCAGTACCCTGTAAGATGCCTGCATCCTGCCTGTCCCTCCACACGCTGCAGAGGCAGCTGCATTCAGAGCATGGATTTCCAGCATTTTCATGCAAACTTACGTCAGCTCCACATAAATTGCTATCAGCCTTTACAGGAATGCTGGCAGGGCTCCCGGGGTGAGGGGCTGTTGCTGCACTGGGCATTGCTGCTCTCTCCCAGCAGTGCTGGGCCGGAGGACACAGCTGCCATGCATGGGGATGCCTCTCAGCTCCAGAGAGCCGCTTTGTGCAGCCCTTCTCAGGAAGAGCCAGGCAAGGTCACCCTGACCTCTGCATGCTCTCCCTCCAACGCTGCATGCTGATAACCTGGGCTCTCCCATATTGACTGTGCCCTGGAGGGGGAAATACGGTCACTCACGTGCTGGAAGCTAAATACACTTGTCCCTGCCTCACACTGAGCATTACTAACCTTAGCCAAGGACATGGCGATGGCGAGAGACGGTGCTGCCTGCCTGCATGTGCAGCTGGGACAGAGCTGGGGCTGCTGCAGGATTGCGCAAGGCCCCCCACACTGGGGCACAGCATCAGCCTGCACCTCTCAGAGGGACTCCCCGTGAATCACCCTGGAAATGCCATTGCCCATCAGCAGGAGAACTAGAGGCTTGGAGAGCAAGGTGGCAGGAGCAGGGCAGGGCAGTGAGGTCCCCGTGACTCCATCAGGCCCCGCTGGGCTGTAAGTCCCTTGATGCTACATACCAAGGCACAAGCATCACTCAGCAGAGAGGTCACAGTGCAGAGGCTGCTCCCTGGGGGAGCATCATCACAACCCCTAGCACTGCCCCACAAGAGGGAGCAGCATGAAACCCCATGCCTGGAGGGTACAACAGCTCACAGTGAACCCCTTGGCAGTGCAGACACAAGGCAGAGTCATCTCTGCAGCCATCATTGCCCGACAGCAGGGGCGGAGAGGACACCAATTGCAGCTCTTCTGCTTCATGCTTTCCCTCTCTGTGCTGCACATATGTTCTGAAACTCATTTAGTTTCCATGAGGTAAAGGCGAAACACCAGCCATCCCCTGAGAGATTGCTAATCTAATCAGCAGAATAAAGCAAAATCGTCAGGGAGAGGTTTGCAGATCTGAGGTCCTGGTGTGGCCACAGATTTCCTCTCTGCACCATGGGGGCAGGGACAGGAAATGTCACTTCGCATGGGACACCTGCCAGAAAGAGTCTCCAACCCACATGCGGTGACAGGGAGAGGGGCCACGAGAGAAGGAGCGCCCCAGGAGCTGCCAACCCCAGGACACCTTCTTTTATCAAGCTATTGGCAGAGGTGACAACCATGACACTGCTGGCCAGCCCGAGTGCATGGACACAGCAGCCAGAGGAAGCCACAAAGCAAAGTGATACTACTTATAGGGATGTCAGATGATGGGTCCTGGGGTGACACTCACCTCTACCCAAATGTCAGCATATAGCCATGATCTGCTGAAAGCACCCTCAGCATCACACCACAGTCCCTCCCAGGAACAGTGGGTGCTTAATGCAGCATCCGTTATGCTGGGGAGCAAGAAAAGAGAAGGGGGTGGGGGGAGACACCCACCTGCACCCCGCAAAGCTGTTGAAACCCCTTTCTGTTCCCCTGCAGGATCCCTGCTCTGGCACGCAGCATTCGCTCCATCCCCAAACACTGCTGGAGAGGCCTTTGTGTGCCCAAGTTTCTTCCCAGGAGGGTGATGTGTTTGAAGAGCCCTCAGAGGAGCTGCAGAAGAGCTTCTTCCCTGCCCTGTGGGGGCTGTGACACCTCCAGCACCGAGCCCTGCAGCAGCAGGTCGTGGTGCCCAAGGAGCAGGGTCAGGAGCCAGCGTGTGCCCCTGGCAGGGCTGGGATGGGGGTGCCCTCCCCAGGCCCAGGGTGGTGCGTCAGGCTGAGAGGACGCAGGGCAGGGGGAAAAAGGGGCTATGGTCAAGGTTTTGGTGCCAGACAGACCAGCCTAGGACAGAGAAGGGGAGCACAGGCACAACCCTCCTCCCTGGTACCTTGTCCAAGGGACATATCCACCCTTCAGAGGGAGCAGGGGTATGCGTCAGGAAGGCTCAGCACGGCGGATGTCGGCAGCCAGGAGTGCCAGATGTCCGTGCACAGGACACCCAGTCCTCCAGCATCCATGCCGGGGCAAGACTGCCTCTGCCGTTGGGAAGGTTTTGGCGTTATCAGGGCTGTCCCTGCTCTCTGTGTCTGTTTCACACCCCCTGTCCCAGCCCAATTGTAAGAAAGAGAGAGGCCCGGGAGCCTGCTGGGCCATGGGGAGACACTAAGCACCCAGGGTTTGACCCTGAGCTCTGCCCTTCCCGGCAGCTCAACACTAAGACTAGCAAAACAGGATGTTTCTGCACTAAGCTTGTGCAGAAGTCATCAGTGGTATAAAAATCTATTTAACACAGAGGGAAAATTAGATGATTCATTTATTTGTGTATGGTCTGACCTGGGAAGAGCCTCCCCGTTCCCCTGTACCCTGCTGTCCCATTCCTATCCCTCTGCAGGAACACAGCCTGGACACACACAACACAAACCCCCAGGACATGCGTTGCAACCACCCCAGAAAGGGCTGGCACCCCCCCAAAGAGCACCTTCCCCTGTGGGACCAGCTAGATGATTCCCCCCCAGTCCCTGAGCTGGTGGGAAGAAGGGAGCAGCAAGCAGTAAGGACCAGGTAGGACAGGAACGAACAAGGTGCTGTGGGGCAAGAGTTTTCTTCCAGGAATAAGCCTGACCCACGTTACCCCCGGGCACAGCATGCTCGTTCTGTGCCCCAGAGCACCCCCGGGTCACAGCAGGGGACAGGCAGACCCCTGTTTGCGGGATCCCCCCGGGAAGGGAGCTGGTTTTGTGTGTGCCAGGGCTCTGCCCTGGGAAGGGGAACGGGAGAGGGCAGAGCTCGGACCCAGGTGCCCCCTCCAGCTGCTCGGGGACACCCCTGCCCCAAGCCCCGGGGGGCTGGAAGGGGCTCCCTGCACAGAGCCAGGCCGGGGTACCTGACCCCCACTGGGTGAGTGTCAGGACCCGGGGGAGCGGGGGACGCCCCTGTCTCTTATACACATA